CATTTAAAAATAATAAAAAAATAAAAAAAAAATAAAAAAAAATAAAAAAATGCTGTCCGGCCGGTCGGACCGGCCGAACCGGGTCTAACCGATCGTCGCGGCCGGACAACATGTGGTCCGTACGACCGGTCGATTAGTACAACGACCGGTTCGTACGGCCACAATTTTCGCACGCGACCGGGGCTGTCCGGTCGAACCGGCCGGACGCCTTTGTGACTGTCCGGTCCGGTCGGCCGGACACCGCCGGTCCCGTGCGGAAAAAAGGGCCGGACAAATTTTTTTTTTTACCTCTGAGCTTGTGGACATGTTGCGGAGACAAAAAATGAAAAGGGCAAAATCGTCCAAGGGGGCGGTAAATAGTAGTGCCGTAATTTATTAAACGAGCACGGGCTCCAAGACGGCTCATTTATATTTTTACTTATTTCGACTCCAAAACTACACTCCGCCAAAATTTATCAGCAAACAGCCACCAAATGCGAAGACGATGATGGCCCTGCAATCGATTCCCATTTTCCGATCAAAATTCGTAAAAACCATCTCCCATCTGTTCCCAATTCTCGATTTTTCTCTCTCTTTCCACCAATTCGCCCCTCCAAAGCCCCGCCGCAAACCCGCCGTCGAAGACGGGAACCGCGGTGGCCCGAATCTCCTCCACCACAAAGACTGGCTCAGCCGGCCCGAAGCAATCCGGATATTTCAGGAGCTCAAAGACCCCGACCAAGTTCTCCCGCTCTTCTCCGAGCTATCGGCCCGCAAGGACTACAGTCCCAACGAGAACCTCTACGCCACCGTCATCCACAAGCTCGCCGTCTCCAAAAACTTCGACGGGATCGAAACGTTAATGGAGAGAATCAAGGTCGAGCGCAAATGCCGCCTTTCCGACGCATTCTTCCGTGATCTGATCAAAATCTACGGCCACTCTGCCGGCAGAATCAACAAAGCAGTGGGAACCCTATTTGACATGCCCGCCTACAAATGCTGGCCCAGTGTAAAGACTTTCAATTTCGTTCTGAACCTTCTGGTCTCGACCAAGCAGTTCGAGGTGATCCACGAGGTTTTCATGGGGGCTTCTAAATTAGGAATCGAGATTGATGCTTGTTGCCTGAACATAATCATCAAAGGGCTTTGTGAGAATGGGCAGATAGAGGCCGCCCACAAGGTGCTCGACGAATTTCCCGAACAAAAATGCCTTCCCAATGTGAGGACTTTTTCGACTCTAATGCACGCGATGTGCCAGCGAGGCCGTGTGGACGAGTCCTTTGATCTTCTTAAAAGAATGGAAGATGAAGAGGTGGAGATTGATGCTGTTGTTTTCAATATTCTGATATCGGGTTTGAGAAAGCAAGGGAGATTCAAAGAGGGAGTTGAGCTTTTCGAGCAAATCATGGCAAAAGGGTGCAAACCGAATGAAGGGACTTATCAGGAAGTTTTATATTGCTTGCTGGATGAAAAGAGGTTTCTTGAGGCAAAGGGTATTATGGGGAAGATGATGGATATGGGGATGAACCCGAGCTTTGAATCCTATAAAATGGTTATAAAAGGCTTTTGTGTGAAGAATCTTGCAGAGGAAGTTGAGTGGGCTTTGAAGAAAATGGCTTTGAGTGGATTTGTGCCGAGGATGGGCACTTGGAGAGAGGTCGTGCGGTGTTTGGTCTTGCACGAAAGTGGTTTGTTTGTGGATTTGGTTCGTTTTTGCAAAGGATGATGCGAAAACAAGTTGAATTGTGTTCATTTGCTAGGGGATGTTTGTAATTTGAAACTCATGTGAACAAACAAAAAAACAGGCTAAACGGTGATTTAGGCTTGAACGAATTGAAGTGTTCTGGCAAAAACTTGCTTAGAAGATGTTACAACTTATATGCTCCCACATTGGATGTTTCTTGTTTATGGGGCTCGACTTGTAATTCACAGATGTCGTACATGAACTTTATTTGTTAAAATAATACGAATATTTAACCGTTGGGTTTGCTTTCCAAAATCGGACGAATACTAACAATTATTTAAAAAATAATAATAATAAAAATGAAAAAAAAAAAAAAAAAAAATGATCCAAGATTAGTTCATCTTGGCTCCAGAAGTGTAATGCTCATTTCATTTGCTGAATTTGCTGCATTTGAACTTGCCGAGCTCTCGGCATTCGACACCATTTCCCGCTCTGTGAAAAACCCCGGCTGCTTTGCCAGTGGCAAAACGCCATCGTTGGCCATCATTAGGACAACCGAGGACATGCTTGGCCGGTCCTCAGGACATTGTTGGACACACAAAAGACCAACATGGATTGCTCTCACCACTTGTGATAAAAAACATGTGTTTCCCATGTTAAAATCTACAAGTTCTGAAGACTTTCCTTCCTTGTATAGCATCCATGCCTGTTCGAATATCAAATCTTTTTCAACTTGAAATGAGTAATAAATAACAATTGAGTAGTCTACACTGCCCAACTGATGTGTGGCAGGAGATTTACATACCATATACACGGTGAGCATGCTGCTAAAATATCACGAGATCTTGACATGTATCTCTTAATAAAAAATAAAAAAAAAAATAAGAAATTTCTTATAAAAAAAGATGAAATGACTCACATGTCCAAGAAGGTTGAGATTGTGGTCTGCATGAGAAAATCCTCTGTTTCTCTTGCCGCTCACGATTTCGAGAACCAAAACGCCGAAACTAAAGACATCCGATTTCACGGAGAAGAGACCGTCGACTGCATATTCCGGGGACATATAGCCACTGCAGTCAAAATATTTTCTTTTTTAGCCAAAAAAAAAAAGAAATCCAAAATCGGAAATATTGGATCTTACTATGTGCCCACTAC